CTCCTGCTCTTCTGAATCGCATATATCCAGTGCAAGGACCAGCAGGACTGAGCAGATCAGAGGTCAGGAGAAAGGCCAACACAGAAAACTTCTATAGATTTTTAACATGAAATGGAATATATAACTTAGATATTGAAAACAAAAGGGAAGCAGAGGTTCATCATTCCGTAGAAAGTTGTGCAAGCTCGTGATAGGAGGGAAATGAGGTGAATAATGGTAACAGGAAAATTTCAGGGTTAAAGTTGTATCTTGCTGTCACAAACTGGTCAAGAAAATAAGTAACACTGGCAACTCCTTCTGACACTCATCCTGCATGACCAGCCTGCCTGGTTCACTGAGCAAGCCAAAGATTGCTTCCCCAATGCCTATCACTACACACAGTCCAGTTTTTACTAATTTTGAGTTTTCTGTTTCAAATATTGCCATCTTGTGGAAGCTGCCTGGAAGGACTGATGAGACACCTACAGCTGCGAGCGCTTCTCATTCCCAGACTCTGGGCATCCCGGCCACGCAGTGCTGAGGCTGAGCTGGTTATGCTGCACAGATCCTGCTGCATCCCTCTTTAAAGACATCTGTAGCTCTCAGCAATGAGAACCTCTGACTGCTACCTGCCTTACAATGCAATTGAGCTGTAGGAACTCATGGTCAGCACTAAATAAGCCCTGGGTTAATCCTTTGGAGGAACAGAAAATCAGATCCCCAGCTGGTACAAACTGGCAGAAACCCAGACTTGAGCTATGTGGATTTACACCAGCTGAAAATTTTGCCCATACCTTCCCTTTTGCATAGCCCTGAAGTAATTTTAAATGATTTCTTTATTTTAAATAAAAATTCTGAATGAAATGACAGGAGAAATATCTCACCTGTTCAATTAATGGATGGCTAAACAAGCACATGGCAAAACAATGGCATGACGTGGAAACAACTCTAAGTAATGGGAGAGTAATCAGCAAAGATGATTACCTGTGACTTATTGACTCTGCGTGTAAGTCTGGGAGGTGGCTGTGTGGTGACAGTAGAGGAAGAGAGGGCAGAGGAAGAGAGAGGAGCAGATGAAGAGAATGCTTTTGAGTCTGCAGTCTTTTGAAGAAAAGAAAAGTTGGTCAGCTTGGCACACACTCTCTTATCACAATCACTGCTAGTGATAAGAGCATCTACTATGCACTAAATTCGATGCACACACAGCAAACATAACTCCATGCAAGAGCAAGTGCAGTTTTCAGCTGGTTTGTCTGAGCTGACCATCTCATTCTGTTTTAAACATGCAGGTTATGACTGTAAAAAATACTACTAAAATATATATCCAGATGGTAACCAGAAGTCTTTATGCAGCTTTCAATACGCTTCTGTTATGATTCAAGCAGAAATAAAACAACTTGCGATAAGATTTCTCAGTGTGACATGTGTCACCTTAGAAACTTTAGTTCCTCATTATTTAACGCTGGCTAGATGAGGTATGTGATGGAGGCTGTCACAGTGCATCCGAGACACTATTGATAATGTTGTGATGTGGAGCTCTCCAAACTTGCACTCTTAGACAAGGTAGCATGGGGGTGCTGTAATGTATTTGGGCTGGCTGTAGCCCACAACGGACCCCAAGTCGACTGAGAGCTGCCAAGTAGGACAGTTCTCCTATACCAAGACCAGGGCAGAAGATACATTGTAGAAGCTACTGGAGGGTTTCCCTATGTTCCTTCTCATTGTAACATACAGCTACATACAACTAAAAACTCTTGGGAGAGCGTATCACTAGGTCTAGCTCTCCTTTGTGGCTAGACCCTTTCACATAATTTTGGAAATGCAAAGGTATTAAATCCTACTCAATGCGTAGGTAACAATCAAGCCTCCTCATTGACTTAGTCATGTGCATCCCAGACCAGTTCACTAGACCACAGGCTCCAGGATCAACAGGAGCCAGCTTATGTGGTTCTAGGAGCCAGCCTGATGTTTACAGTCCTTTGCTTTAGGAGGAACAAATAAATCCTATAACCAAAGATGATCCATCACACACTGGGAAATCTCCTAATAACAAGGAATTGCCCATATTCTACGCAGTGAGGTATGCGGGCATGAGGTCTGTGTGACACTTTCATCTGACACATCTGGTCATAGCCAGTATCTGAGAAAATTACGTCATGATTGAGGTGGCCAGTTGAGTCAGTCCTGTGCTATTATCTATTCCAAAGTAATTTTCACTACACTGCTCTTGGGCCGCCTTCTAAAAATTTTTGATCTGCTATCCAGGGAATGCCACTGGTGAGCCCTGAGAGGTCTTAGGATTATCAAAATTGTACGTGGCAGCCACAGGCTCTGCCTGGCCAGCAGAGCAGCACAAACCTCAACATACCAGTTAAAATCAGCAATTCAGAGCAGCACATACACATGCAGAAGTACCTTCGTTTCTTCGCTTTGGTACTTTCCCAGATCACCTTTCCTCATGCCTCTTTTCTCTGTTTTACCTCCCTGCACAATAGCCATTAGCTCCTGACACAACTGGTTGTCCTCAGAGGAACCCACAGGTCTCTTTTCTGGGCTCACACGCATGTCTAGTTGGGATGGTTTCAGGCAGCGCTCAACAGAGACCTTGGGAACAGCATGAGCACCCTGCTTGGGGTTGCTGCTGCACTCCCTGGTCTTTTGGAGCCAGGCTTGGCCACCAGTGGTGTCATGCTGCTCTGCGAGGACTCTTTCGGGGCTTTCCACTGCCCAGTGAGGGGAGTGGGAGTAGCTCACACTGGGAGAAGGGGAGCGAACAAGCTTTTCTTCATTTTGCAGAGCAGCCTGATAGGAACTTCGAGCAGAGGACTGAGGTCTGGATGAGGAAGAGGGCAATGGGGATTTAACAGACCGGGGAGTCGAGGAGCCAGAGAGATGAGAATGGTGGAGGCTGACCGTGGGGGAAGGGCTGGCTGCAGCAGAAGGCGAGAGATAGTCAGTGTGAGAGAGGGAGGCTTCAGGTGGAGGAGGCAATGGAGGAGTTATGGCAGGAGTGGTGCTAGGAGACACTCCCACGGTCAGAGCAATCCACTCGGATGTGACTGCCTGCACCTCTGGAGATAAGGCGCGGCGCGCAAAAGGCAAAGGTGGAGGAGTTGGTGTGTGGAGCAGCTCAGAGCTGGGAGACTTGAAGGAGACAAAAGCAGAAGAGAAAAAGAAAAAAAAATGAACAGAAAAGTAATAAAGAAAAATACAAAATGACTGAGTAAAATTATAAGGAGAGAGAGCAAGTGTGGAGAGGAGCAGATCTGTGACCAAGTGTCGCATGTAGGTTTTCCACAGACAGGTGCACCGTGTTGGAGAATGCACTCTCCACAGCTACTCCATCCACAGAGTCCAGTCTGTATCCGTGCTGCTAATATGCTTCTCCAGCTTTCCCCAGGATCCCAGACACCAAACACCTTGTGGATGACCTTGGACTTCATACCATATACATTAAGTCCCTGCAGCTGACTAGCCTGGCAGTAATAGCTGGGACTTCAGCAACTCACACTGTCGATCCAGTCAGAATTCACTGCTGCAATGAATTTTTACTTCATCCAACTCTAGCACGAGCAATGCCTATTCCTCAAGAAACTTGCATTGCTGAAGTTGTGAAGGAGAAAGGGATCAAAAAAGCCAGCTATGGCTTTATGGTCTTTAGGTGATTAAAGTAGGTCCTACGTTTACAAAGGCAGAACACACAGCCGAGTTCTGCCCTTAGCTATTACCACCAGTGACATCAGTGAGATCTGAATGATTCTCAGAATGTTTCTCAATCCTCTGCTAAGTTAGGAAGAAAAGTAAGGGAGAGGACTGATTTACTAGGGAAGGAATCAAAAGGATATAGAGGAAACCAAAAAATGGCAGGTACAATCCCTTCCATCAAAGGGAAAAGTTTGCAGAGAGTTGGTGGCAGACAGGCCACAGCTACAGAGAGACTGCCAACCTCAAGCAGAAAAGCTCAGCTGAGGTCCACTTTGACAGGGCATCTCAAACAAGCAACATGTCTGTCCTCTTTACACAGTGGCTAAGAATAAGAACACTCCTTTTAGGGCAGATCCAGACACCAGGCACAAACCATGGCAGGCTTTCCCATCCATTCTGTGCCGTATATCCCTTCCTCCCAACCCCAATTCTCCACTTTTGTTCCTTGCAATCTTGACCTCAGAATGAGCTTGCTTCGGTCCCGTGGGTGACGGGGGGATGCAGCAGAACCCCATGGCCACGACCCAGACACATATGCTGACCTTGATGCATGAAAATTTGCAGGATGAGAGCAAAATAAAGGGATTTAGAGACTCACTGCCTCCCTGATATGTTTCCCATGGCAAACATTCTGGGATTCCCATACAACTACCTGCTGTCATTTTGATTTCTGGTTTGAACTGCCGTAGGGTTTATAGCGAATCTAATACTCATGGAAGATCCCAGACTGGCCTGCTCTGAAAACCCGAGTTCATTTAGCACCACTTTCAAATTATACAGGCTGCTTTCCTGGTCCTGTTTCCCCAAAACCTTGGTTGTGAGCTGCCGCATTTAGGAGTAAGTATACAGCCTGATTCAAGCTGACTGTGATCAACATAATGACTCCTACAGACTGCAAGAGTCTGTGATGCCCTTTTAATAGCCATAATAAAAAAGTCCCTAATCACAGTGGGATCTGTAAAGTGTAAATATGCACTCAGGAGGAGCTGGATCACCAAATCATTCCATCTCTGGCAGTGAAATTTATTCAGATAGCTGTGAACTGTGGCCCTTTCGACCTGTCTTAAATTCAAGCTACAGATCAGAGATGAAAAGCTGAGTCTCCAAATCCCCAAATGACCCATTCATTAACCTTTCTGGTAAACGAAACATCACCTTTTCCTGCAGTTGCAGCATGCTGCAGGGAGTGCACGGTTTTTACTGTGCAAAACACTAGCCTTAGCTACAGCTTTTTTCAGCTATTGCTTCTTGCACAGCAATGGCAACATCCCTCTGTTCTGCAAGTTGCTGTAACCGGCTGCATCGGGTCCAAATACCTGTGGTGAAGCCGTCATGCTGCGGTTAGGGGAGAGGGACATTGGCGGGTCAGGATAGTCAATGGCATTCTTGACCACTGGCCGCTTGAGCACCTCCACGTAAGTGACAGGGAAGATGCCTTGGCGATTGGTGCCAGAGATTTTTCCTTCATACCAATTCTCATCCACTCGTCGAATCAACGTGATCCTTTCACCCTATGGGAAAGAACAGTAATACAGTCCTGAGTTTGAGATATTTCATCATTCCAAAGCAGATTACATTTTTAATCTTGCTGCAGCTGACTTAAAACAATCCCTGGCTCTCAGCCTCCCCTACTTCCCAGTTATGTGTCCTAACTCTAACCTCCGTGTGGGAAGGATATTTTTCAGTTCAGAGAAGGAGAAAATGCAGATGATCTGGTGCTGACTTGGGCTCTCTGCAAACTCAGTTATGCTCACATATTCAAGACCCTACTTGCTAAAGCCAGTTTAAAGAAATGGAAACCAGGCTAACCATGAGACTCCCAAGGGTATGAGGTGTACAGGAATATGCATATATCTGCAGTTTAAACTAGGTCTCTCTACGCTCTCTTCTGTTTTGCTGACAAATGAAGTGACTTCCAGATCCCTAACATAAACTGCAAGCCCCACCCTCCTGTATAATTAAAAGAGAAGACAGACAAGATCTAATCTGAACATCAAAACAGAAAGCTGTCCGAGATGAAAAAAAAACACTGTTACTTAATCTAAATACGGCTGACTTTGCTCTGAATGGCCACTACACAACCCATTTCTACCCCTCACTCTGTAGTCAGGTCTAGCCAGTCACTTCAATACCACAGAACCTCGCTTGCCTGTGCTCAGCAATTTGGCATGCACTAGGAAGCAAGGTGATCCCAGTTTCCTTGTTTTTTACATTGCCGTTCTCATGTACTGTGTGCATCTCCACAGGAGAGTCTCAGACTGGGGACTTCACCAAATGTCTCATTTGCCTTTCAGAGCCAGGCTTCCAGCACTTGTGCTCAAGGCATCTTCTCAGCTAGCCCCAAGGAAGCAATTGGCACTTCTTGATTCTGACTACATGCAACACTCCCACTGCAATGCACTACATAATGGCTGCAGAGTAAAAACATTGGTGATGAGAAGGAATCCTTCCTGAATATGGACTTCATCTTTTATTGGAGCTTTCATGTGGAAATTGCAAGTTACTAGTGTTAAAGAACTTCAGCATTTATGTGAACTCAGTTCATCAGCACAACAAAAGTCCCACCTTTCTGAAGGACATTTCCACTTGGGTATCCCCATTGAAGTTGAACTTAGCAACAGCATCTCCATATTCCAACACTTGCAATGGGGATGGCTTTTTGGGCTGAGCTTTCTCAGCTGGTGGGAGGAGCTAGAATGAACAAACAGAATGAGTCACACACAAAAAGGCCATAAACTGGTCACCGGCAGAAAGGGAGTGGGCAAAGAGAACACCTGCAAGGAAAGTGACTACCTCTATGTACGATCGTGGGAAGATACCAACTCTGCCATGGTGTTCACCTTCATACCAGTTCTGGTCAATTTGCTTGTAAATGTAAACAATATCTCCTTTCTGCAGAGGAAGTTCCCTGTTAAAAATACAAGCACTCCATCAGAACTTCACTGGAGAACAAACATCTTCGTCTGTTCAGCAACCCCATGGTATCAGGGTCTGCATGAGCCCTGTTGATATAAAACATGCTCCACTCAAAGTAAAAGCTACATGCTGAGAATTACCCTGTTCATATCATGTGCAGGGACTCTCTTGCTCTTTGGGCATCCTGTCAAAAAAGCTGCACTATTGAGGGCCCTACTAACCACACATCCTCCAGAAGCAATGGGGTCAAGCTCAAGCAAAAGATGCCACTGGCTGCTTTCCATGTTGGACTTGGTAAGCAGTGCTTGATTCCTGTTTTGAAAGTCTTGACATCTGTTGAAGTCCCTTGCTGACTTTGGGCCTATACTTGGCATAGTAACAAGGATGCTGCTGTTCTGCATATCTATGTTCTTTTGACCATCTGCATGGCAGATTTACACAGTGAGCTACTGACTAACATAGTTCTTCCAGCTCCTAAGTCAGAATACAACTAGGGATGTCACAAAGGGGATTCTCTTCTGTCTCCAGCAGGAGGGCAGTGACAGAACCACTGCTGAAGGGTCTCACCCAGACACCCTTACACTCACTTACAAGGCGCAGGCAAAAAAATTAGCTGGAGCGCTCCACCCACCCTCAGAGCAGAGCACTCCCTTGTCCCAGTAAAGAGTGTGAGTTGGCCCTAAAAATCAAATGGGATTCTAGTTGAGAGGCGTCCCTGCCCATGACAGGGAGGCTGGATTAAATGATCTCTAAGGTCCCTTCCAGCCTAGGCCATTCTGTGATTCTATGATAGAGACATGCTGAGAAAGAAGATATTTTCCTACAGATCCTTTAGAGCCTACGGCCTGCAAGATTCATATTACTTTTCCTGGCCTTATTCTGGACACCTTTACTTTGAGCTGTGCAAAGACACTTAAAGCATGAATTCAATTGCATGACACTTCATAAATGCTGCATCCTAGGGGAAAAAGCAAAAGAACACTCAAGGCAGTAGTAACAAGCTGTACTCACTTTAGCGTCTGTGCTTTAAAGTCAAACTTCGCTCTAGCAGGTCTCATCTAGAGATCAAGAAAATTAACACATTAAAATAATAATTAGGTTTTCAATCCTCTTCTGAGGATAAGTGCCCAAAATCTTCTATAGCTAACATTAGTTGGGGGAAGAAATTGAATGCAGCTATTCAGCTACAAGCTTGTGTGCAACTGGTACTACAGACCAAATATGCTGGATGGGTCTCCCACTAGGGCAAAAAGTGCCAACTTCTGGTATAACAGTAATTACGAGCTCTACAGGAAATAAATTTAACAGCGGTAAACTTTCAAGTGTGACAAACCTAGTAGAATGAAAGCTGCTCCAGTAACTACAATTACTGGGGATCTGGGACCAAATTTCCCTTGACATTTGAAAGGATAAGCAAAATTTACTTGCTGGGAAAAAAACAGTAGGGCTTTTTTTGATATAGCTCTTACTTATTGTTACCTGGCCCTGATGAATCATGCAACGTGACCTGTATACTCTGTATAAATTGGTAGGAAAGAGACAAAGGTGAGGAGGAAATATGAATAAATTAAGCATGTGTCTAAAAAAATGTCTTCAGTGGCTATAAAGCCAAAGAGGACGCTGACAGCAGGCCTAGGCTTTAAAGCTCGATATACTTGGCTGATTTTTCTAATGGCCACAAAATATTCGGACAATTTTAAAGTCATTTTGTTAACAGAGTATGAAGTAAGAAGTACTCCCATTCATGTGGTTCCAGAGCATTTGAAACTCCATAAAAGAGAGACAAGTGTACTCTATCCACACGATGACCACCTCACCCACTGTCACGGGGCAGCACCTTCGGGGAAAAAGAGCTGCTGTCAAGAGCTCCAGTAGTAATCCCTAAGGCAGGAAAAAGCATTTGGCTGGGACACCTGGACTAGCACCCAGACCACTGGAAAAGTGCCTTGGGCTCATGGGAAAACAGTCTACCTCCTCCTTTGTCTCTTTCAGAAAGATCGACCAGGTCGTATGCAGTGAAACATGCCGAGATGTTTTCCAATTGTTTCTAAAGGACATTAAGCATCTTTTAAGAGAAGAAGAAACCTATTTCTAGAAGAAAGTATGAGACAGTCACATGGTCAAGATCAACAAGACACGAAGTTTCTAAGCATAAGGCACAGACAAGAATACAATGTAGCAATATGACACAGAAGATGTAGAATGCCTTTGATTCACTAAAACTAGCTGATATTTAAAGGCATGCATCACAGGTGTGCACCAGCATTTCTCAGCAGGCATGCTTTAACATATGCAGCTTGGTCTAGAGATGTCAATTAATTTACCAGGCACAAGAGTCAAAGCAGATCTAAATGAAGCCAGAATGGGAAAGGGGAAGGTGGAAAAAAAACCAGACGACATTCTCTGAAGAGCTAATGTCGGCCTAAAGCACAACATTGTGAGAGGCAAATATTGCTTTGGGTCAAGCAGCAGACTGAGGTAACTAAGACAGACCTCTGACCCAGATTTCCTCTTTGCTGTATCGTCTACATTTAGGAGGTCCCCAAATCGCTCATTAGTGATAAACTGATGGTGCGTTGGAATAACCCCTGTGTGCCTTCTAGCTGCAATATCAGCTTCTTCTTGCTCACGTTTAAGCCGTCTCTGGTCCTCTAAAAGTTTCTGCCATAAAATTGCATAAAATGGGCAGTAAATCATCTAGTTAAAGGCATTCAAAAGCTGCCATAAATGTGACTTAAATAAAATTTCTGAGGTTGCAGCAAATAGCTGAGATTTTACAGTTCAACATAAAATACTGTTTCTGCTAACTACACAATACCCTCTCATTTTGCAAGCACAGAAGGTACATCACCATTAGGAAATCCAACTCATACAGCGGATCTGACCCAAAACTGTTGGAAGTCAACAAGGAGTTTTTCAAAGTTTTGGCCAGGTCTTGGGAGCTTCTAAGACTGCTGATAATGCAGAGGGCCGATCTAAATTCCCTTCAACCAAAAAGAAGTTTCTCTCATTGACTTCCAACAGACCTGAATCAGCCCCACAGGTAAGGTCCGGGGCACAAAACTCCCAAGAGCTTTGCAAGGAGCTTGGGAGTGTGCCTAACCACTTTCAGGTATCAGGGTCTTCCATACTTCTTTTGGGCTCATGTAATACACTTTGCGAAATAAAGCAAATAAACCCCGAAGAATTATTCTGGACTTCTGAAGCCTCTAGCACACTAATGGAAACACGCATTCTTGCAAATCTGGGCAGAACGATTCTTCCACGTTTTGGGACTGACTGTAGGCTGAAGAGTTCAGCTCTGTGCTAACTCGTTTGAAGACAGCAGGTTTTAGCGAATTCTCAGTTTTGCTCTTACACAAGTTTTCATGGTGGATTTTGAAAGTGGGGGGATTACTAACTGTTTCATGGGAGAAGATAGCAAAAATGTATTTTCTACATAGGAATTAAGATCAGGTTTTACCATATTTCAAAGTACACATAAACACCCTTTGAACTCACAAAGTTAACTGGAAGGTTTAATTTTTTTTATTCCCCCCTCCCTGGGCAGTGAAAGTTAATTCCAGTTTCCTGGAAAGCAATCACTTTATAACTTCTTTAATTCAGGTTGAATACAGTCAGTGCTGATAAGTCTTTGTGGGTTTCCTATTATTTCAGCTTGTCCCAGTGTTGATTACCCATTTCAAAAAGGACTGCTACGTACTGCTGTCAACTACTCGAGACACGGTAAAGAACCCTAGTTTGTACTGGGGGAAAAACTTCGGGCTTTCTGATAGCTTAAAATATCCTACATTTGTTGTTCAAAACCTGAGGATCCCCACAAGAGAAATACTATTCTCAACAGTTTGATTAGTACTGACTCAAGTGGCTTGCTTGGAGAACAGTAAAACCTTAACACACTTTCAGAATAACCATTTCATCTTTATTTGTGAGTACTGCGGTGTTGTACCACATCCCACACCTTTTTACGCCCTTTCAAGTCCCCACGTATTACTCTGTGCAATTGAAAAGAACTATCAGGTTCATCTTAAACAAAAGCTAAACTGGACTACACATTATACATTAAATCAGTGGCAGAGGTAATATTAAAAATTAAAACATACTGGTTCCAGCTTGTTGCTCTAACTTCCCATACATAGAATAGCCATGGGCATACAAGCTGTCCTTATATAAGGCCCAATGCTCTAGCTCTTGTCTGTGAAGCTGCTACAGCTGTTATTAGGCCACAAAGGAGGGCATTACCTCTTTATCATCATGCCGTCTGCGGATAATTTCTTCTGGAGTTTCCATGTAATCAACTGGTGCAAAATGCCTTGGTGATTCTGAATCTACTTCGAAACAACATAAGGAAGTTAAAATACAGATGGATTTATCTAGCATAACCAGAAAGGAAAAAAAATAGATATTTTTTAAAGATTTGTTTCCATTATGACAGTAAGGATTCTCAAATGCCATTGACCAAATTGCCAATCAGATATCAATAATTTATCTGTTTTAATTTTTTTCCCTTTTGGGCTGTACTTGTGAACAAAGATCCAAAAACAGAGAGAAAGTAACGGTACAGTAAAGTGTAAAGACATAGAAGGACTTTGTGAAGAAAAGATTCACTGCCATCAAAATACGATTTGGCATTTTACTACTGAGAAAAATTTAATATACACGCACATACGCACGCACACACACAACTAGACCTTGAGAAACTGCTCCTTAAAGCAAATCATCTGGGTTTAGTTTATATTCCCATGTATGCAAATGATATAGGACTAAAAATATCTCATGTTGAGATTCTTGTGTCCCCGGAGTTGCTTGAGAGACAATCTGAACCCGATGTGATTAGAAAGGCAGCGGAAATCGTTTCTCAGAAGTGCAGCTGTTAACAAGTCCTGAACAAAAATGCTCAGCAAGACACGCAAAGGACATTAGACACACTAGGGGAAAAAACAGAGAGAGTCAGAGGATGCAAAGGTGGGAAGTAAAAATGCAAGGGTTGTGGAAGAAAAGGGGAGGAGAGCAAGGAAGCAAGGAGACAGATGAAGGGACACTGGTAAAGAACACAAAAAGCCACCTCCTAGGTACGTCCCAAGTTCACTTTGAGGGTTGTTGTTTGTGTCCAGGCTCTGACAGAGGGCATATGGAACAGGGTTCCCATTGTTTAAGGAGTCAGGAGGGTCAGCCCGGCCCATGAAGCTATCTCGGCTAGATCCCATGAGGGGGAAGTAGCTAAGCCTCTCCACAATGTCAAAGGAAGACAGGCGCCTGGGGGCTAGAGGCCTGCTTCTGGAGCACAGTTGGTGCTGGGGATGGTGACTCTTGTCTCCTATGCTCCCCTGCAGCTGTATGGGCTCATCTGGGTTCTCAGGACTGGGTACTGCCAGGCTTCCCAGGCAGTCTGGGGGTGGAGTCCTGCAGGATTTGTTCTGGAAAGGCTTTTTCAATCGGAAGGGGAGCGGGCTCATTAGGTAGACATTTCTGGGGAGCACGTGTCTGTCTCCATAGACATCCCCTTTGGAATCAGGGTTCCTGGAGGCCTGCTGCTGCTCGTGCCTTCGGATGGTAGTGAACCTGGTGTAGGAAGCTGGGCATGTGCCTTTGCATCTGTTGATTTTATGCTTCCGAGGCCCATTGAGGTTGCTGTTGCTGCTGCCGCTGTCATTGGATGCATTTGAGAGGAGATCTATCTCATCCATGCAAGCTGAAAGTGTGTCCATAAGGATGGCATCACTGACATCTGAAGCCGTGTCCTCCACGTTGCTGCAGGAGTGGGAGGATTTATCTGCCAAGCTGGCAGCATCCTTCTCTTCTTGGCGTGCTTTTGGCAAATCCAGAAGCAGCTCCATCGAGTAGGCAGAACCCAGACAAGTTTGAGACTGGAGGGCAGTGGTGAACTTGTTTTGTCCAATGGAAAAGTCAAGCGACGGCATTGATCGGGATCTCTGGATCAGCTGCTCAAAGGCACTGATACGGGAGGAAACGGTGTGTTTGGGGATCTGCTCCGAATCCTCTCGACTAAGGCTGTGTTCCATCCTCTCCTTTGTTTCATTCTCAAACTGAGATGCAATATCCCTCACGCTGCAGGAGGAGACTGTGCCCAAATGGATCTTGGACCGGTTGATCTGGTGCATGTCTTTATACAGCATTGTAAACTCCATCCCACTCTTCCTGGAGGCAGGGAACAGGTAGCCTTTCCTAGAGTTGCTGCCATACTCCTGCAGGCTCATGGTACTGCCGGATTTGATGGCATACTCCTGCTTTGACTTCATCAACATGTTTTCTATGCTTTCCCCTATGTCTACCACGAAAGCTTTTTTATTATCAAACAAGGCACTGGAGCTACGAAGGTTTTCGCAGCTTTGAGCTTTCTCATGAGACAGCAAGATACCCTTCTTGTCCTGCACAAGAGCAGCTGGAGCTGCCAGTTTGGGTTTGAATTTAGAAGGGAGGATTTCAGTAATGCAGGCTTTTGCAGCTGATAAGGGCTTCTTATGTTTACATGTGTGACCTAACATACCGGCATGACTAGCGTTAAAGGTTCGGCTATTAACTGAAGAGGGTGCGGTCATGTGAGCATTCCCACCTTTACGATCCACTGGTAAGCATGCAGAATAAAATAAATACAACCTGTTAGCTTAAGTGCTAGAAAGCTATTGAGAAAGGAGAAAGAACATGCTTGGATTTCATAAAATGCACTTTAAAGAAACAAATTTCCAAAATGTAAAGGAAAGCAAAATGAAACTGCACAACAAGCCACGCTTATAGCAGTAGGTGAAGTGCTGCTAACATTTCGAAAATGAGAGGCTTGACCAGACGCACATCTGGAGCACTTTGAAGGTACCTTCCTAAAAAGTGCTAAGCATCACCAAATTCCAGGGAAGCTGTAGCACCATGGAAAAGGGCAGCTAAACTCTGGGCAGGGTCAGGGTGTCAGCAAGAATGCAGAGGCACTAACATTGCAAAAATGGCTTAATATCAAGCCTTTAATCGCACCTACTATGGTTTCACCACAGTGTTTGCCAAACAGTTTATTCCTGGGAGGGAGAAGACAATCAGTGGCTGATTCTGCTAGCAAAAGCAGGCCACATCACCTGGCCTCGCACAAAAGCTGCCTGCTTAGAGATTCCCCATACTAGGAATAAGCTGAGTGTCCTTCAGACAAAGTGGCTGGCCATGTTTGCTTTAAAGATCAAGGAGTCAGATCAGGACGATTTTTTTTTTAAAGTCTGGGTTCAGCTTTGACTGAATCCAGGCTGGGATCCAGGCTGGGTTCAGCTTAGGCTGCAGTTTTTAGGTCTGTTTCCGATTTGAGTTCAAACTCAAATGTCAAAATAACCATTCAGGTTCAATTACAGTTTGGGGAACAATAACTGCTTGAACAGATTTTTAGTTCAGATCGTTTGACTCCCTGCCCTACAGGCCTGATACAATGCTGAAAACCAGCTGGAAGACAGAGACAGAGGCAGACTTTTTTGGTGCGATGTACTATTTTTAGGGAGAGCAGTTCAGAAACCCAATGCATTCCTTCCCCAGTCCTCTCCCCATCTCAAGCCATTTTTAGGCTGAAGTTGGCTCAGAGATACATTCCCCTGTAAAACTCCCTGATAGAAGTCAGGCTCTTCCTTGTCCTAATTTTCTACAGTGACCACGATGGGGGAAGGAAAGGGGAGGAGATGCAGTGGTCTTCTGCTATCTCACTGTCTCAGAACCCGCAGGGCACTGCTGGTTCCCAGCATCCTGTGCATTCTCTGCACACCCCTCGCAGGCAGGAGGCTGTGGAGCACACGGCTACACGTGGGTAGCCAGGCCAGCAGACATGGTGTGGCCTGCTGCAATATCAAAGCGAGAAGAACAGAAAAGGCAGGGGAGGGCTCTTCATGGCAAGGCAGTGGGAGCAGATGGATAGCAAGGCCAGCTTGAGCAGCCTCGAGGAAGAACATGAGGGTGTGGGGTGTGGCTGAGGAGCTGGATGAAGGGAGCTGGTGCCTGTTGGGACCTGGATCAGATAGAGGGGGTCATGAAAAATATTGGCCAGTGTGGTCTGAGAGAAAAAAGGAGGGAAAACTGGGGATGGCAAAGAGGAAGGACAGAGGAAACCTCAACTGCCTTGAATAGGACTCTAAAACCTGCAGCAGTTTGCCCCACATCACCTGGCTTTTGACATTCTGCTCACAACAGAGAAGAGGTTAGTGCCCTGACCACCTACCTTTTGTGGAAGCAGAGCTAGAAGGTCGCTTGAGGCCACTCAGGCCCTGAAATGGGATGTCTCCACCTTCCAGCACACTCTTGTAAATCTGCCTTTCATTCTCCAAGCCAGCAGGGTCCCCCAGTGCTTGTTCTGACTCCCTCTTCACTGCATGGTAGTTGGGTGAGCTGGAAAACAGAAAAAACAAAGAGGAATACCAGTGGGTCACTTCTGTTTGCTGAGAGCTTTATGCAAAATAAGGGAAAACCACACTTGTGAATCCAGAATAGACTGTGTATGAAGCACTGGTAGCACTGATGCTGAATAAAGAGGTTATGAACACGTTGCAATAATGTTCTAGGTTTGGCACTAGCATTCGTCACCTCAGGGAACTCTCCTGTATCAGACTCCAAGAAAACAGGTGTCTAAAAAGCACTCCTTTATTTTACAGATGAGACAACAGAGTCACAGAGCAGATGTACTGTTTCTTAGCAGACACAAAGAAATTCATTGGCTAGCAGGAAGCAGCACAAATATCTTCTTGCTCCCAGTCCTCTCTCCTTAAACATCAGCCATGCCTGTCCCCTGCTTATGAAGCACAGCTGCTCAGTTCAGCTCATCCAGTTCAGCCTCCCAGTTAATGCTATAGTTCAAGACTCCCAGAGCAATTTCTCAAGCCTAACAGGGAGGGACCATGCAGAAAAGCAATACTATGAGGGTATAGACACTGTTGTTTTAAATGCCAAAGAAATTTCCAGATGTGCATAGTTCTGCTTAGCTCCGCCTCAAACTTCTACTACAGGGGATAAAAAATCCTTGGTAGACTCTAGGTCTATCAAGCAGATATATAAATAAAATGTGTTAAAATGAGCATAGTTTTAATTTCTTAGACTTTTAAAGACTGGACATTTAGTACAAACCCCTTTTCTCAGTCATGAATCTAAGCACAAGTATGTCCCCACATCTGATTTCTACATTTCACTGTTTTCTCTCTAAAAAAATAACCAAGGATGCCTTTCCATGCACAAAAGACTTGCAAACAGGCAGACAATTGTTTTCCTAAAAGCTAAGTGGATCTGATAATGCGGATCCAATAACTATTCTTGTACTCAGTTAGGCTCTTCAGAATAAGATGGAATCTCACACAAAGCTATTCTGGGGCCAAAGTATGACCACTGGAAAGTTTGAAAAGAATAAAAAACAGGGCATTTGCCAGTTCATGGAAACATTCTGAGAGCTCATTTACATCTTGATGTCGAGGATTGATTCAAATTTCTGAGAGTGTGGAAACGTCTGTGGTTACGCCTGCTTGTTGTAGATAAATTTGTACACGCATCTGTTTATTTTGGATAGATGCTGTACTTACGGGGTAAAGAGAAAGCTCTCAAATACATCAGAGGAATAGCCAGAGAGGTGAAATTACACAATGACTGGATCACAAAGATGATTTTAATTTCCAGACAAGGAAAAACAAGTCATATGCAGTACCATAAATTACTTTCTGGAGTAAAAGCACCATGAAAGAGAAGGGGAATACTGTCACTTTTATAACCTAGGCAATGCTCAAACAGACCCATAGCTACTGGGCTGTTTTGTTCTATGGGGGTTATCTCAGCGCCTCTCTTTGCCAAATTCCAAAGGAAGCTCTGCAAGTTGCTGCAGGGAATGATGACTGCCCTGAGGTTCCTCACCTGAGAAATAAGAGCATTTTAGCCTAGGTGTTAAAAACCAAAGGGTTAAAAAGATCCTCCTTTGGGAACACACCTCGGGGGGGAGAGAGGAGGCATTTGGCTGAGTCCCTTTACTCGCTGCTCCCTTATTAGTGCCAGCAAGCAGTACTTTTAAGGGCCAAAGCAGTCTGCCAGATCAGAATCAGGTGAACGGAGAGAAGAGGAACAATGCAAAAAGACAAAAACTCCAGGTGCCTTTTCTCCCTGCTCTATAAACTAACTCTAGCACTGGACCTCGCTGTCACGTGATATTAACAGGAGTCTGGAGAAGAAGATGCCTCTCCTAACAAGCCATCCATGCAGAGGGGATCACTGTGCCTACAGACAATATTAAGCACTCACTCCAATTAAAAGGAGCAGTAGTTTGCAGTAGGAGCTCACTCCACGGCTGAAGTAACTCAGCACAGTTCACCATCTTGCTCTGAGGGTTTTTTGGTGTGTGTTCCTCTTTAAAAATAGAAACACCAAAAAAACCCCCCCAAAACTCCCGAGCTTCATGTACAACTCATTTAGACAGAGCATACCGTTTATTATGTATTCCTCTGGAAAACCAGGGCCACATTAGACCTTTGAGAAATATTGTTAATGCTACCACTGTTCCCTTCCTGGAAGCTAGAAAATGATTGCCTTGCATCAGCAGCATCCGTTTGATCTGATGTGCATAAGTTGGAATATCTAACAGGAGCCAATCTACCATACATAGGTAAGAGAAACAAACTTTGTTTATTCCATGCAATAAAGTTACTTGCATGAAGTTACAGTCAATTTTCAAACTTCATCAAGATGGAGTTAAAGGTCCAATTTTTTTTTATTTTATTTTAAAGTCACTGCCTAGCACAGTAAGCAATTCCTATCTAGACAATGTAATCACTCATGTAACCACTTCAAAATTCATTGACGATCAGATATTGTACCTGGACTCATTTAAAGCACATGCATAATTGTCATGGTACATGTATTTGTCTATACCCATCACCAAAAAATAAAGATAATCCATTTCCATCACGCAAACTCATCCTACAATGCCCTCCGATTGTAAGAGAGACATCAAAAAACAACTGAAAAACTTACTAGGAAGAATGGTAGGTTGAAGTTTCCAGAGGAGTAACACCTGCTGTATTCTGCAAAAGTCCAAACAAAGGAGTCATTGATACACACTTGCATGTGAGGAAAAAGAAAAGCCTTGCTTAAATAATTTTCCACCTATTGCTTGAATATTAGCTTTTAGGAGACATTGAGGTTTAAGTCTAAACACAGTTTAAGCTGTCAATGTCGGTGCAGAAAAGCGACAATTTTCCTGAGTTCCTTCAGGGCAGTGACAGGTTTTTAGCACAGCCTTTTTGCAGCGCCTATTCTTTTGTCTGCAAATGAGTCATTGTGAATAAAGCCAAAAGCAAGAAGAGATAACCAGCTGGGCCATGACCAGCAGACACATGCTCATAATTATTTCCCCAAGCTTTTTTCCCCAACCGGTCACTGCCTGCTTTTGCTTTAAAGGTATATTACATTTCTGCAGCATAATACATTCCTCAGCATTCAAAAAACTATCTAAGCAGTAAGAAGAAAAGCAATGTTTCAGTTCAGTTTCCTTACTTAAGAGAAGCAATGCCAGTTGCACAGGTTCAATAGCAAAAGCCAGTTCTTATCCGCTTGCTTTAAATCCATCTAACACTTGTTATACATATTATTTAAAAAACTGAAGGCAATTTAAGAAGAAATGCTCTATTTGGTGTCCCCTCATCTATTTGAGGATTCCTACGTAGAAAGAAAAAGCAAATCTTGGGTTGAAAAAGCAGCTTTTTCAAGTCCTGGTGAAATGCCGCAGCTTCAAAAAAAAAAAAATCAACAACAGAAAAACACAGAAAAAATGGCGTGTTACCAAATTAATCTGTCATTTCGTGGTCCGGGTCCTGCAGACCCTCAAAACAGCAGCAGCAGCTGACCTGCCCTAGAGGCCATGGCAAGGTGCAGCATAAGGAGAACCGTGTAAAATCTCTTGGGAATATCCAAATCTTGGGTATGCGTGAGCTCCTAGCAGAGAGTGGGGCTTGTATGAAGGGAGGGTAGATGGCAACACGCTTGAAAGGCACGAGATGATGACGTGATGCCAACCAAGAATTTTAAGCTGATTGCCGCTGCCTATTCATGTGAAAAA